GAAATGATCCATTTCAAATAATCCTTATCTGTGCTGTAAGCATGTATGCTAGTTAGAGACTTTGCCAAAAGGAATGAAATGGAATAAGGAAACGACCACTATGCACGAGATTTGGCGATCAAGTAAAGAGTGGAAAATTTGTTATTCATTGCTCTACGTGATACATATGTTTGAAAATGCATATGAAATAACTTTCTTGTGACTTTATATTTTATTGCTGGTCTGGAAGTAAATATTGTAGTATTGAATTATTTAATATTTAGCGTTTGACTTGTGCAGCATGAACAGATAGACAAATCTCTATTTCAAGCTGAATAAACACTCAGATAAAACATTAATTGCACTGTAAAAAATGGTCAAGAAACGGTACGTAGAGGCACTCTTGATGATTCATCCATAAAATTCCTTTTAACCATTAAATACTATACCTTAATTTTCCTCAATATTTATGCAATTTGAGCGATTCAGTGATTTTACTGTAATTATTAGGGTAAAATTACTGCATATCCAAAATTTTCACAGCGTATGAAATTGTATATATATATTTTTAAATTTATTATAAAAATAAATATTTTTTTATAAGCACAATGTTACAAAGACGAAATCCCTAGTTGGCTCAGTTTATTATGTACATTCTCAAAGAATTTAGTTCAGTAAGCCATATGTGAATTCGCAGTAACTTTAATAATGAATTAAAATGAAACCTTCTTTTTCATTACGCTTAAATATTTACAAGATAAATTGGTTTCACTACATTTTTCAAATGCTTTTCAAAATAAATTTTTGTAGATTCATCTGAGTATTTCATCTAAAATAAGACGAATTAAATATTTTATTTCTTTAAATTTATCTTTCAGTTGATAAATAAATCTGAGAACTACTTAAATTCATTAAAACTCAGCTTACTTTGTGACAGTTAAAATATTCGTGCTTTAAGAGAACATTACGTATTTTTATTAATATATTGTATTCATTATAGCTGAAAAGATTTTAATATTTACAAGTAATCAAAAATAAATTTTTAATTTTCAAACATTGTCTGCAAAGTAGTGTAAGAATTATGTCTATAATATATAATTGAATACAGGGAACACATATTCAAAACGCTCATGTATATTGAAATTAGAAATTTGAAATTTATTGTAGGTAATTTCCTGTCTAAAAAAATATTATATATATATACAACGGATTCT